AATGAATGCTGTGCCCCAGCTCAACACTGCCCACCACACACTCATATACACCATCAGGAACTGGAGCCCAGTTGGAGTGACCCTCCCAAAACCCTCACTAGGCCCACCTTCAGCCCTGGTTCCTGCACATGCCGATGTGTACAGCAGATTGGTGTAGTCTGTCCCGCGTCCCATTTGCTCTCATACACATCAATGTATATTGGAGCCTAGCTCAGCCCTACCAACCCCATTCTAGCCCACACTCATGCTGATACCACCGCCTGTCTAGCCAGGCCTGCCCCTAGCCCTAGTTCTCATACTCACTGGTGGAAGCTGTAGCACATCAGAGGGCAACAGAGGGGTGCCCAAATTTCTCAACTAGGCCCACTGCCAGTTCCGGATCTTGCACTTTCCGGGTGATACTGCAGTCTGGCCTGACAGGACTCATCCCCTGTCTCACCACCTGCTAGTCAATGTTTTGGCAAAGCTCAACCAGCTCACACTTACTCTGGCTAATGCATGCATCAGTGAATATGGTCGTTTAGCTCAGCCTTTACCAACACTCTTGAACATATAAATTGAGAATATACTTCTATCTCATCTTAAAAAATTCTTAAGACTGGAGATTTCCTTTTTTTTCTCCTTTTTAGCATGAGTTTAGAATTTTAATTAAGTATAAATGACATTTTTTTGTAACACTTCAAGGAAGTACCTACTCATCTTCCCCACTCTTGTCAGCTTTGTGGAGAAAGAAGAAGCAGGGTTCAAATTTCAATGTTCCCTTCTCCCTCTCTTTTTGCTTTTTAAAGATTTATTTATTTATTTGAAAGGCACATTTACACAGATAGAGAGACACAGAGAGAAAAATCTTCTACCTGCTGGTTCATTCCCTAGGTTGCCACAATGACCAGGGTTGAGTCATACCAAGGCCAGGAGCCAGGAGCTTCATATAGGTCTCCCACATGGGTGGCAGGGGCCCAAAAGCATTTTTTTTTTAGATTTTTATTTATTTTTATTGCAAAGTCAGATATACAGAGAGGAGGAGAGACAGAGAGGAAGATCTTCCATCCGATGATTCACTCCCCAAGTGAGCACAACGGCTGGTGTTATGCCGATCCGGAGCCAGAAGCCAGGAACCTCCTCCAAGTCTCCTACATGGGTGCAGAGTCCCAAGGTTTCGGGCCATCCTTGACTGCTTTCCCAGGCCACAAGCAGGGAGCTGGATGGGAAGTGGAGCTGTCAGGATTAGAACCAGTGCCCATATGGGATCCCGGCACATTCAAGGTGAGGACTTTAGCTGCTAGGCCACGCTGCTGGGCCCCAAACTCATGTTTTATCCTCCACTTCTTTTCCCAGACCATCATTAGGGAGCTGGGTGGGAAATAGAGCAGCCAGGACATGAACCATGCCCATATGGGATGCCAACATCACAGCTGGTAGGATTACTCACTAAACCAAGCACCAACCCCTGAATCTCAGCTCTGTTTACTGATTGGATGATCCAGGCACCAAACTTTCGATGAAGGTTCTCGCACATACTGCTCCTTCTGCTCAGGAGGTTCTTTCCTCCCTCATGCCTGGTTGACTTCTGTTTTTAAGTGTCTGCTTGAATGTCACCTCTCCACTTTGTCTTGGTCTCTGTTTTCTGCTTATTTCCATCATAGCATCTCATGTTTTTGTTTGTTTGTTTATTTATTTCTTTTTTTTTTAAAGATTTATTTTTTATTATTTTTGTATTGGAAAGGCGGATATACAGAGAGGAGAGACAGAGAGGAAGATCTTCCGTCCGATGATTCACTCCCCAAGTGAGCGCAACGGGCCGATACTATGCCGATCCGAAGCCAGGAGCCTCTTCCCCGGTCTCCCACGTGGTTGCAGGTTCCCAAAGCTTTGGGCCATCCTCGACTGCTTTCCCAGGCCACAGGCAGGGAGCTGGAAGGGAAGCGGGGCTGCCGGGATTAGAACCGGTGCCCATATGGGATCCCGGGCGTGCAAGGCGAGGACCTTTAACCACTTGCGCCACCGCGCCGGGCCCGTGTTTATTTATTTCATTTGATTGTCAAGTTCCTTGAGATCAGGCACCTAGTAAAGTCATAGAAAACAAGTAAGTTAGGTGAATAGATGAGTTTTCCTCCCCTGTGAATCCCTTCTGTGATAATTACTTCACAGTGCTGTTGACAGACTTAAATCACAGATGCAGAGTGAGCATTGTGATACGTTGGGTTAAGTCACCTTTTGAGATGCTCACAAAGCCAACCAGAGGGCCTGGAATTGAGTCCTGCCTCTATTTTCAGTCCAGGTACTAATGACCCTGGACAGCAGCTGGTGATGGCTCAAATACTTAGGTCGCATGTGGGAGACCACATAGGGTTCTTGACTCCAGGTTTTGACCTGGCCCAAATGTGCCTATAGCTGATATTTGAGAAATGACACAACTAGAAGATATTCTCTCTCTCTCTCTCTCCCCTTGACTCTGCTTTTCAAATACATGGAAATCAGCAAATCAAAATTCATTGAAATCACAGATAACAAATGGCTTACACAGAGTATGGCAACTGGTAGGATCTCAGTATATGCTGAATCCCTTTTCTTCCCCAGGTGTCCACAACCACAACCTTCAAGAGGGGTGTGACTGCTGTATTCTGAGGTCCTTTACTTTCTTCACTGAGTTCCGCCAAAGCTTCCCCCATAATGTCACCCACATTGCTTCCAACCCTGCATATGCCTACTGTCTTGCCCTTCAGGCAAATGCCACGGCTCCTTAAGTGGCTGTCCTTTATTCTGTCTACAGTTACCATCCCACAGTGGGATTGCCTCACTTCCATTGTCCACCTCTTGTCTGTACCACATCTGTTTTAGCCTGTGCCACTGCAGGCAGGTTCTGTGTGTGTGGAGAGACACACTGAAACGCACCCATACTAGTTATGTTCTAGTGCTAAGGACCTATGGGCTAGCAGCAGCCCTTTGCTTCACCTCAGTGGCCTAGGATTACAACCAGAACAGAAAGACTGTTCACCTAGGAGCTGGGCTCGAGAGCAAGGACAAAGCACTAGAGGGGAATTTATGGGGAGCTGTGTTGTCATCTTCTAACCTTCATTGTGGCCATCTCTGCGGCAGTATCTACCACACTTGGCATCCATAGCCCGCCTGTGCTCTATAGGATGCTCTAGCTCCAGTTTCCTATCCAGTCCAGACAGCTTCCCAAGAGGGGAAGCAGGGGCTAGGCAGCTGTAAGGAATTAAAGTTTTCAGTACAATGAGTGTCTGAATATCAGAATTAAATGTGATCTGCTTTAAAAAATTTATTTATTTATTTATTTATTTATTTATTTATTTACTTGTTTGAGTAGAACAGAGAAAGAAGAACAAGAGAGATGCAGGGAAGGAAAGAGGAGAGAGAAAAACAGACCCAGGACTTGTTTACCCCTCTGATGCCTACAATAACGTGGGCCAGGAACCCAATCCAAATCTTCTCCCACTGAAGACCTGCCTTCCTCTTCTTTTTAAAATTTCTTTGGTTTAATTTTATGTAGAAGGCAGAACTAGATAGATTGATGCATTTTCCACTTACTGGCTCACTCCCCAGATGGTTGCAATAGCCAGAACAGGCCAAGAACAGGAACCTGAAGCTCCTTTCAAGTCTGCTGCTTGGGTGGTGGGAAGCCCAATGTTTCCTGTTGCCTCCCATGGTGTATTTTAGCAGGAAGCTAGATAGGAGGGAGAAAAGCCCAGTCCTTCCATCTACCTTTTTTAGCTTCATTTCCTGAGTCTCAAGTCCTTCATGCTGTGCTCCAGCATTGTGACCAACCAGAGGTTCTCCAAGCCCAACTCTCTTGTTTCTATGCTCCATGACTCCACCTGTGCTGTGACTTCACCCCCAAACCTGGCTGGGAGTTGGTTGATCACACCTCTCCCTCCGCATCTCGACCAGAGGATTTTGTGTTTCCCACTTGCTGCCACTTCCAAACCTGATACTTGCTATTGTTGCACCTTACGAGTATGTGGTGTTATTAATTCAGGTGATGCAATGGGTTCCCCTGCCCATCTGTGTGTTTTTCAAGGGTCTTGGCTTTGATTCATCACTCAACACAAGGCCTGGCACATAATAGTTATTAAGTAAGGATAACTATTTAATAGAAATGTAACCCACACACTTTAAAAAAATTCACCCTTTTAAAGTGGAACTCCATGACTTTTCTGGTAGACTTACAAAGTTGTATAAGCAATATCACTATCTAATTCCAGAATGTTTTCATTACCCCTCATCCTATAACATCCTATAACTATCAGAAATTGTTCCCCGTTAGTCATCCTCATACCACACCTGCTGGCCCTTAAGAACACCTACTCTGTGTCCCAGTAGATTTGCCATTTCTGTACATTTAATGTAAACGGAATCATGTGCAGTCTTTGTGTCTGATTTCTTTCACTGAATATAGTGCTTTCAAGGTTTAGCCACATTTTATGGCTGGACAATATTTCACTTATGGATACAAATATTCCACATTGCATTCATTAGTTAATGGTCATTCGACTATTTTTGAAGATTTATTTATTTATTTCATCTACTTAAAAGGCAGAGAGAGGGAGAAAGAGAACTTCCATCCATTGCTTCCCTTTCCAAATGCCTGCAACCTCCAGGGCTGGGCCAGGCTGCAGCCAGGAGCCAAGGACTAGCCTAAGTCTCTCACAGATGTGGCAGAAATCCACACTTGCTGCCTTCCAGGGCACATTAGCAGGAAGCTGGATTGGAAGTGAAGTAGCCATGTCTTAACCCAACCGTCAGATGTGGGATATGGGCAACCTAAGCAGTGGTTTTAAATCAACCATGTCACAATGCCTGCCACTAATTCTTTTTTTGGCTTTTACACATAGGCTGCTATGACTATCCCTATCCACACTTTTGCATATCAATAAATATTTGAGGCATTGAGTAAATGAATGAATAAGTGATGACTGATACTTCATCCATATTCTTTGGCTCGGATCTGAATCATGATCTTCTTTACTTCTTTGGAGCAGGTCTGGGCCGGGTTGTTCAGGCTGAAGAATATCTATCCCAAGCCCAGTGGACTGTCCTCAAATCAACTCATTGCAGTAATGCCATCCATTCTTTACTGCATCGGAACCTTGGACTTCTCTACATGGCTAAGGAAAATTATGAGGACGCCCGCTATCACTTGGCCAATGATGTAAGCAAGTTCAGTCCTAACCCCCACACAGTCCTGAGAAAAGCAAATTCTATTTTTTTAATTGAGCATTTCCCTAGTACTTTTTGTTTACAGCTTACCATTTGGTTGGGTGAAAAGCAAGAACATATTTCTAAGGAGCTGAGTTCAAGCTTTCCCACTTCCCAGCTCTTCAACTTTGGCCCTGTCACGTCTTTCCAAGCCTTGGATGCTCTGAGGAAGCAAAAAGAGGGATAGAACAAGAACACATTTCAGAAGAAGAGTTTCACTTCTTTTTGTTTTTAAAGATTCTATTTATTTTTATTGGAAAGTCAGATATACAGAGAAGAAGAGAGACAGAGAGGAAGATCTTCCACCTACTGATCCATTCCCCAAGTGGTCGCAACAGCCAGAGCTGAGTCTATCAGAAGGCAGGAGCCAGGAGCTTCTTCTGGGTTTCCCATGCAGGTCCAAGGTCCCAGGGCTTTGGGCCATCCTTACTGCTTTCCCAAGACACAAGCACAGAGCTGGATGGGAAGTGGGGCAGCAGGGACACAAACTGGCCCCCATATGGGATGTGGGGTATGTGAAAGGCAAGGACTTTAGCCACCAGGCTGTAGTACCAGCCTCAAGCGTTTCACTTCTTGCCCCCAGCTCTGTTGTTTCACTAGTTGTGTAGTTTTGGACAAATACATCACCACAAGATAGAAATCATACAATAATCTTTGTCCTATGGACTCATCACAAAGGTTAATAACAATATAATTCATAAACTGTAGTTTGGCTGTTATTTTAAAAAATAAACTTATTGTTTCTACTTTAGAATATTATCATTAAACTTCAATGAACTAGGTACTTAAAAACACTTTATAAAATACAAAGTTCTGTGTATACATTACATAAGAATGAGAATAATAAATGAGGTATTAGTCTCAAACTTGGGAGGCTTTCAGTCTTGGAAAGTGTTATCAGGAGCCATTGCTACGGCTCAACTGGCTAATCCTACACCTCTGTGCTCTGGCATCCCACATGGGCAATGGTTCATGTCCCAACTGCTCCACTTCTTATCCAGCTCCCTGCTTGCGGTCTGGGAAAGCAAAGGAGGATGACCAAAGCCTTGGAACCCTGCACCTGCATGGGAGACCTAGAAGAAGTTCCTGGCTCCTGGCTCAGATTGTCTCATTTCTGGCCATTTTGGACACTTGGAGAGTGAACCAGTGATGGAAGAACTTCCTCTCTGTCTTTCCTCTGTCTTTCCTTTCCTTGTAAATCTATCTTTCCAATGAAAATAAATAAATCTTTTAAGAAAAGAAGTGTTACTAGTAAGAACAGGTCCTGAGCCTGAGGTGTGGGCTGAGTTAGGATCAGTTTGCTTTCCCTATGTGGGTTGGTGATGTTATGTCCTTTTCCACTGAACAACCCTCCCTCTGGGGCCTGCAGAAACCCATAAGTGAACTCTGAGGCTGTCTGTTTCCCCATATTCACCATCCCAGACCCATGCTCTGTCCTCCTCTGTACCATGAGAGGATGACTTTGGGGAATGACACAATCTGTATTCCATTGTTCTCTGGCATTGATTGGGTTTGGAGAATGAGAGGCATAGTGGGGGTTGAGGTGGAGAGTGAGTGGGTGGCATGCTTACCCTCTGCTGCCTCAATGCTGCACCCCAGCCCTGGCAGGGGCAGTGTTCCTTCCTCTCTCCTTCTGTAGCCCGAGGTCTGACCAGGCCCTGGTAATCCTGACATTGTCGGGTGCTGGGTTGGTAATAGCATCTGGCTATTGGTAGTCCCTGGTGTCATTCTTGGTTCTTTAACCCTTTCATATCTTGAACAACTCTTTCCATGAAATACCTTCAGGTAATTCTTTTGAGGATGCCACCTCTTTGCCCTGGCCATGAAGGAAACGCACTACTTCCTTTGTGCTTCTTCTCTATACTCTGCATCCTCCAAGACAACCAGCATGGGCACGTTCTGTCTTGAGGTGGACCACACAGTAGAGACTAGATTAAGCACAAAGTTCTCAGCCAACCTGTAAATGTACACATTTATTGATTCATGCCATAAACCCTTCCATTTTAAGTGCTCAGTTCCATGGTTTTCAGAAAATTCAAAGAGTTATGCTAACATCAGCACTAGCTAGTCCTGGAAACCTTCCAGCACCCCACATTGTTCCCACATAATCCATTTGTGGTGATTTCCCATTTCCAGCGCAGGCCCAGACAAGCTTTTTCTGTCTCTATTGATTTTCCCTCTCTGGATATTTTATATAAACATATGGTCTTTTGTATCTGATTTTTTTCATCTACCACAAATTATATGAGATGTGTCCACCTTGCTACATGCATCAATACCTTTTTTTTCTTTTCTTTGTTTTTTTTTTTTTTTAAAGATTTACTTATTTTTATTGTAAAGTCAGATATACAGAGAAGAGGAGAGACAGAGAGGAAGATCTTCCGTTTGATGATTTACTCCCCAAGTGACTGCAACGGCGAGAGCTGAGCCATTCCAAAGCCAGGAGCCAGGAGCTCTTTCTAGTCTCCCACACGGGTGCAGGTCTCAAGGCCTTGGGATTAGAACAGGCATCCATATGGGATCCCGGCGAGTTCCAGGCGAGGACATTAGACACTAGACCACCATGCCGGACCCCCTCTTTTTCTTTTTTCACCTGTAGTATTCCATCATCTGGGTGTACCATGTTGCTTTACCCAATAACAAGCTGATGGGCATTCCAGTGATTTGCAAATTGGCTACTGTGAATAATGCTGCCATGGACGCTGGTATCCAAGTCTTATGTGAGCATGTGTTTTTAGTTCCCTTGAGTCAGCACCTAGGAGAGGAATTACAAAGACATCTAGCTACTTGTAACTTTTGGACCCGACAAACTCCACAGAGGCATCAATAATGCACAAGGATTTCATTTGCTCCACTCTTCACCCACACTTTTCACTTTCTATCTCTTGGGTTGTAGTCACTTTAGTGGGTGGGGAGTGATCTCTCTCTGTGGTTTTATTTTGTGTGTTCCCAAGGACTGTTATGCATTTTGTCCTGTGCTTGCTAACCATTCGAAGTTCCTTTTGGAAGAATATGTATTCAGAAAGTTTTGGAATTCTCTGAAAGTTTCTTAAATGCACTATGTATACAAGTCTTTAATTGGATATGTGATTTGCAAAGTGAGCCCAGATGTTCTTCTTCCTTTGGCTGTAGATTTATTTTGCCAGCTGTGCATTTGGAACGGATGACATCAGGACCTCAGGAGGGTACTTCCACCTGGCCAACATATTCTACGGTCTTAAGAAGTTGGACCTGGCAGACACGTTGTACTCCAAGGTGAGCTGGGTAAAGTGGCGACAGAGCCTTGACCTTCAGCTCTGATATTTTACAAATGGTGTCAATCCATTCATGAGAAATGTTCTATAAAGAGAGTCTCAGAGAGATGAAATGACTTGCTCAAGCTCACATATCCTGACACATGATGCACCCACGTTTTTCTTCCCACATGACATACCTCACTTTTTTTCTTCCCTTTTCTTCACTACTAAAATAGAGTAATCCCTACTATCCACAGGATGATAACAAATAATGAATCATGGCTCAATAAGAATGAAACTCCTCCAAACAGCCAACAGCATGTGTTGTAAAACACACAGGTGCCACCCGGCGCAGTGGCTTAAAGGCTAAAGTCCTCACCTTGAATGCTCCGGCATCCCATATGGATGCTGGTTCTAATTCTGGAAGCCCCATTTTCCATCCAGCTTCCTGCTTGTGACATAGGAAAGCAGTCGAGGACGGCCCAAGCTTTGGGACCCTGCACCCACGTGGGAGACCGGGGAAGAGGCTCCTGGCTTCGGATAGGCATAGCATCGGCCCATTGCGCTCACTTGGGGAGTGAATCATCGGATGGAAGATCTTCCTCTCTGTCTCTCCTCTCTGTATATCCTCCTTTCCAATAAAAAAAAAAATAAATCTTTAAAAAAAATAATAAATCTTTTTAAAAAAATGAGAGTGTAGTCATGTATCCTTAATAACAGGAACACGTTCTTAAGAAATTCATCCTTGGGAAATTTCATCATTTGTGAGAAACAGAATGTAGTGAGATCACTAGGAGATATAACCTTGAGGGATCACTGTCATTATTCAGTGTATTGTTATCTCGAACACTGCATCATGCGTGGCTGTACTTTCACATTTCTATCTTCTGGTCTATTAAATTTCTGGTATATTAAAATATCAGTTATGTTGATTCAATAACACCTCACTTAGCAAATAATCATAGGCTGTCACCCTGTGACTGTTGATTCTGTTTATTCCCCACTTCTCAGGAAGAGGCATTTTTGCCGTAGCTGAAATATGGAAGCTGTGGAGTCAAACAGACCTGAGTTTACATCCTGGCTATGTCACTTAACAGGTCTTACCAGAAATCAAGCAGATCTTACCCTCTCTGAGCCTCAGTTGACTTACATTTAAAGTGGAAATAGTAACATTATCACCCCCGCCAGGGAGATGTGAAGCTGTGGAGGTTTGGTATTGCGGGTGTTCTACAAAAGGCAGCCATTGCTGTTAAGCCCCATCCTGGCTGCCTGTGGCTGAGCCTGCCACCTGCCAGGGCAGCCGGTGACCTTCACACTCCCTTTGATCCGGGCTGTTAAGGCTGCTGGACTCCCACTATCTCCAGATACAATGAAAGAGGAGACCTGGCCTCCCCACCTGGCAGTCAAACTGCTGTGATCTGGCTTGCTCGACTGACTGCTGTTTCCTTCCCTACAGGTCTCTGAGATCTGGTATAAATATTTAAATGACCACTATCAAGCCCTCTCACAGGCTCGCACCCAACAGATAGATTTGCTGGGCAAGCAGTTTGTGAATGACACTGGCCTGGGTAAGTGGGAGAGCAGTGACTTCATCCCACCCACTTCTCAAACCTGCCCCCCTGCTCCCTGCATTCATCTCCATCCTCTGCCCGGGTTTGCTGCTGGGGAAAACTGAAACGTGGGACCCAAAGAGCCCCGACCAGTGCCAGCGGGAGTTGAGATCCCTGGCATTGCACACAACTTTCGGGGGGAGGAAAAGCCCCAAGAGAGCTCCTGGGATTTTGTCCCAGGATCCTTTTCTTGAACATGACCCTTCCAGGGTCAGCAAGCGCCGCACAGCAGTTGTGCTGCTGTTGTACTCCAGTGCTTTCCCCTTCACGCGTGATGACCTCCTCAGTGGCAGGGCTTCTGAACGGTGACCAAAGCAAGAGTGGACATCAGTGGAGGAAAATCCTAAACAGACCCACGCGGGCTCCTGCAACCGCTGTGGTGTGAGCCTCCTCAGTTCCCTGCTCTCCCTCTTTGCTGTAGAGTGGGGGCTGAAGTGGGCCCAAGGGGTTCCATTCGTGACAAATGCGTCGTTTGTAGGAGCACAAAAACCCTAGCATCCAGGACTCTCTGCATGGGAGAGATCTCAGCCACTTAGAGGCCTGAGGGAGTGAAGGTCTCTCAGGGTTTCCATGAAACTGGCAGGCTTGGGGAAACAGAGCTGGGAGCTGTCCTATGGCTGCTGCTCAGGGGTGATACTGATGGGCCTGTGCTGCTGGCAGAAAAGCACCCACAGGCCAGGTGCCCTCAAGGTCAGTCTTGCCTTCTCTTCCCCTTCCCTTGCAGATGAAGCCCAGGAAGCAGAAGCCATTCGGGTGCTGACGTGCATCTTGAATATTCGAGAATCTACAGTGGACCAAGCCCCCCAAAAAACTGTCTTCATTCTGAAAACCCTGGCCATGCTTTACTACCTGATGATGAATTCTTCAAAGGCAAGTGTCCTGGTAAAAGCTGCCTGTGTAATAGCCAAACTCTGCTCCATTTTGCCCAATTCCACTGGCTTCTGTCCTGAGCTAGCACCTAGCTTGTTTGTTGAGTGCAGCCCACGTAACCAAGCCTGGGTTACCTCCTTCCTCCAGGGAGCCTTCCCAGAGGTCATAGGAGAGCTGAGCCTGGGCCAGGGCAGGAAGCTGGGAGAGCTCTGGAGAGTCCTCCAAGGAATGGGATAGCAGCTCCGACTGCACTCAGACACAGGCGTCCAGATCGCTGCAGGTGCAGGTGATGAGGAAAATCTGTTTGTTTGAAAGGCAGAGTGTGAGAGAGAAATGGAGACCCTCTATTCACTGGTTCATTTTCCAAATGGACAAAATGGCTGGAGCTGGATCAGGCTGAAGCCAGGAGCTTGGAAATCCATTTGGGTCTCCCATGTGGGTGTTAGGGACCCAAGCACTTGAGTGTATGAGAAGGGAACTTGATTGGGAGCTGAATAGGCCAGAACTCAGATCAGCACTGCACTATGGGATGCTGGCATCACAGGCCGAGTCACAACCTCCAAGTCAAGGTTTCTGTTATTTGCTTAGGACCTTTACATAATTGGTATATTTAATCTATCAATCTTATGAAATTGATTTTTTTAATTGCCTTCATCTTATAGATAAGGAAACTGAGGAATTGTCTAATTTCCTACAGAGAGTAAATGGGGTGTATCTCTGGTTTATTGTCTGTTTGATTGACTTAGTCATTCAAATATTTGCTAAGTTTCTAGCATGAGTAAGGCACCAACCTAGGGACTGGGGACATGGTGGTGAACAGCCAGGTAAACGCCCTATCTCTCTGGGGAAAGTCACACAGACAAGTAAGTATACAAGAATATAATCTACGTTTCAGAGAGGGACAAGTCCTATAAAGAGAAATAAAGAAAGTGGGAGAATATGGGTTGTATTGGTTGGAAGAGGCCTTTCCATGCAGGTGATATAAGAAAACATAAAGCTTGCTTTCTTTCCTCCTTCTTCTTCTTTTTTTTTTAAAGATTAATTTGTTTTTCTTGCAAATGCAGATTTACAGAGAGAAGAAGAGAAAGATCTGTACACTGGTTCACTCCCCAAATGGCTGTAACAGCCAGAACTGAGCTGAGCAGGAGCTGGAAGCCAGGCGCTTCTTCCGGGTCTCCCACATGGGTGCAGGTTCCCAAGGATTTTAGCTATCCGCAACTGCTTTCCCAGGCCACAAGCAGGGAGCTGGATGGGAAGTGGAACAGTCAGGACAAGAATCAGTGCCCATGTAGAAGAACCCCAACGCATGCAAGGCAAGGATTTAGGCACTGACCCACCATGCTGAGCCCCATTTCTTCCTTTCTTTCACAAACCTTGCTGTGCACCTGCTGAACTCGAGGGCCTGAGGTTCATAATCAGGTGTTATAGTGAAGTGCAGTAGTGAATCCCAGGGCATTGTGGGAACTCAGGGAGGGGCATAACCCCTTTCTCAGTTAGTGCTAGGAATGGTTAGGAAATAGGTAAATATTTCCATTTAGTTTTCCAAATTTATATTGAGCACACCCCCTTTTCTTTTTTTATGATTTATTTATTTTCATTGGAAAAGCAGATTTACAAAGAGAAGGGGAGGCAGAAAGATCTTCTATTCATTGGTTTACTTCACAAATGCCCGCAACGACCAGAGCTGTGTCGATCTGAAGCCAGGAGCCAGTAGTTTCTTCCAGGTCTCCTATACTGGTGTGGGGCCCCAAGGTATTAGGCCATTCTCTCTGCTTTCCCAGTCCATTGTAGGGAGCTGGATGGGAAGTGGAGCAGGCAGGACACGAACTGGTACTCACCTGGGATCCCAGCACTCTGAGGTAGAGGATTAGCCAGTTGAGCTATCATGCCAGGTCCCCAGATGATGAATTCTGCAAAGGCAAGTGTCCTGGCAAGTCTAGGATCAAGTTTCTCTCTGCATATCCAATGAAGTCATTGCCTCAGAATGTGTTGAAGGCTTTAGAGCTACAAGAACCGTAGAAAAAGGATGCACTTCCGTCCATCTCTCCTCCAGGTCTCTGTCAGCGGTCTTCCCAGCCTCCCTAAGCCTGTGGGCCCCTCCTACTCCCTCTAATGCTTCAAATCTCCCTGTCTCACTTGATCTTTTTTTTTTCCTTGACATTTATCACTATTTCAAGCACTACCTTGTTTTATTGGTTCATTTTATTTATCCTCTCTCCCTTACTATATTGTGAAGAGAGGAATTTTTACCTACTATCATGGTACTTGAAACATAAAGCCCTTCAGGAAATATGTATAGGAAGTAAGGAAGGCAAGGAGGAAGAAATGAGCCAGAGACTATGCCAAGGTGCCCTGTGAGGCTCTGTCAATCACGTGGCCTCCACAGTGGTGACTGCCTAGTGACCTCTGTGCCTCCCATTGCTGGCCCACCGGGCTCTGGCTGAGTTCCTACAAAATTTCACTTTGCTACAAAGAGGTACTTAGTTTGTGAAGATGGGTGGGTTTTTCTGCCCTTCACCCCGCCACACCCAGCACAGGTGTGGGAGGCTGTAAGGGCTCAGTGTGTGCTCATAGGGTTTTTCCATATTTGTTAAAAATACTTATTTGAAAGCAGAGTTACTCTGTGTGTGTGTGTGTGTGTGCGTTTGAGAGAAACAGAGAGACACAGAGAGAAAGATTCTTCATCTGCTGGTTCACTGTTGAAATGGCTACAATGGAAGCCACGAACTCTCAGGTATCCCATATGGGTTCGGGATCCCAAGGCTTTGGGGTCATCCTCCATTGCTTTGCCAAGCCACAAGCAGGGAGCTGGATCCGAAATTGAGCAGCTGGGACTCAAGCCAGTGCCTACATTGAATACTGTTGGGCGTTGCTGGTGACAGCTGTGCCACAGCACCTGCCCCCAATGCTCATGGGTGTCAAGAGCTCATCAACCAGCATGAAAAGATCAGTTCTCTCCTACGCAACTAGTGGTGATCACAAGTGGGCTTCTTCCCAATGTTCTGCCCTCCCTGTGACAGTTGCCTTTTGTCATTACGTTTCTGTTTTAGGCAGAGGAATATGCCATGCGAGCCCTCGAGCTTGTCAGAGACTATCATCTCGATGTCCAGGAGGAAAACACCATTCAGGAGTTGCTGAGTCTCATCTTAGCTGAAGAGGATCAACCCATCACTTAGTGATCAACGGGCTTTGCATCGGGGGTATTTGAGGGACAAATGAGTCTTGCCCAACTGCTTGGAGGCACTTTGGGTGACTGGACTTTTCACCTTCCTTGGGGCCTGTATACATAACTGGGGTTTTATTCTTATGCTGCCTGTTGCCATAGTGTAGAGCCTTAGGCACAGAGTGCAGTAAAACTCTTAATTGATCAGGACCTTTGTACCTGGTGTTTTGTGACTTTTTACCTCTCCCAGTCACATGTAGTCAAATCTCTAACAAGATATTTATAATTAACCTGCAAATGCAGTAGTCTTTCAGGGACGCATGTTGCATAGCTGTGTGCTTAAATGAGGAGGTAGGAGATAGAGCTGTATTGAAATAAACACTGTTCTACTGGAGTTAAGCAAGCATTGGTCTGTGGTTAGATTGTGATGAAGTAGCCATTATAATTCCTAGAGCAGTCACTAAGAAAATACTATCAACAGAGGACTTAAAAATATTGTATAGCAGAAGAAGTCAGTAAAGGAGGGCCAGAAGAATGGATGTGAGACATAAAAATCATGCGATGCATCAACCAGCCATTAGGTCTTCATGTGTTTTACTCTCAATGAGCCCCAGTGTGGACTGGCTCAAACACCATCCCAGGTTGGTGCCTTTCTTTCACCATAACTTAAAGGAGAAGGGAGCCATCTATATTTCCATGGCGAAGGCACCCTGGCAGACACCCCAGTGATGCAGAAGGCAAAAGGCAGGCCTTGCATACAGACTTACCTGAGTTCAAACTCCAGCTCTCAAACATAGTGCTTTGCGACTCCACTGCCTCTCATTCATTACTGTTGTAAGGTGGCCTTGATGTTGGCGTTGTGCAGTGTTTCAAGCAGCTGCCAAGAGTGCCAACGTTCCATAGGGTGCTGGTTCTAGTCCCCGCTGCTACACTTCTTATCCAACTGCCCAAGTGCTTGAGCACATAAACCCACAGGGGAGACCTGGAGCAAGCCTCTGGCCCAGCCTTGGTCATTGGTAGTCGTTTGGGGAGTGAAATAACAAATGCAAAATCTCTCTCCTCTCTTTCTCTCTGTTTCTCCCTCTCTGTGACTCTGTCTTTCAAATAAATACATAAATCTTTTTTTTTAAGCTATGTTAGCTTTTGCTATCTTGATGGCTGTGGTTGCTTAGTTCTATGCCAGATTTACCAAAAAGTAATTTCTTCCCAGGTGGATCTACAGAGATCCCAGGACGAGGATATGCAGGCTAATACCTGTCAGGAAGTTTTACGTTCCTTACTAAATTTATTCACTCAGGCACATATGGCACAAGTGAAAACTTATTAAATGAGATGTTTTGCCCCTGTGTAAAATCAGCTGGAGTCTGCATTTCATAGTTTGGGGCATTCTTATGCTTTCCTAAGTAGACTTACATGTCTGTCACTTATCTCTCAAAGCTGATGTTCAGCTTCAAAGCACTTCTCGCTCCAGTCTGAGATAGTTGCTCCTGCTTCTCTTCGGGGATGCCATTCTTTGTTCTGGGATCTTACTCCCTAATCTTGAATGTAAGTCAGCTCTTTCCAAAGAGACTCTTAATGAAGACTGAAGGAGGAGGACCAGCATTTCTTCAGCTGATAATTTACAAGAAAACACTAGAATTTTCTCATTCTCAGAAGTCCTTGATATAAAACTTTATACCATGACCAGCATAGCATGACCAGGATTGGAGAAAGGTGACATGCAATTGAGAACAACATGAGAAATGAGACAGACACAAACTAAAGGAAGGCAGTCTACCTAGATGACTTGATGCCTCAAAATCTTACTGAACTGCTTGGGGAGTCATGTTACAGGAAATGAAGTGGCACAAACCTTAATAGCTTCACCCCATGTTGATGTTAAACCAGCCACTGCTTAATGATCAGGAAGTGACAGCATGGCCCAAGTACAGAGTCAATACGTGGCTGTCTCAAGGATGTCCTGTGGCCTTGGACCATTGTCCAAATGCAGACCTTCGCCCGCAGGCCTCGACTTTGGTTTTAGATTTTGCCCACTGCCAGACCTCGGCTCCCAGTGTTTGACCTCAGTCGCTGGCACCAGCAATCTGTGAACTCAAGATTCCAGGCACATCTGCCATGCCCTTCCTTTTCAAGTCACACTGTTATTTTGTTTTACAAACTGCCGGCACCGCCTTGGTTCTCCCCTTTACCATGTTCATGAATCTCCTTCTCATCTATTTTGTTCTCTCCTATCCTGAATTCCTGTTCATCAACCTTTGTGAATTAGTATATTTAGTTACAATTTAAGTTAAACCCATGACATTTTCTTCATAGCTATAGGCTGTAATTTTCTACTTTTAGAGAATATAGTTGTGTTTAAACTTTGCTTTTTCTTCATTTTTATCTCTTGTGCTTAAGGCTATAAGTTTCCTTCTAAACATGGTTGTAGCTGATCCCACATATTTTGAAATGCAGTACTTTGTTTTTGTTCTAAATATTTATTAATATTTTAACATCTTAAATCATTTAGACATGATTCTTAGTTTCTGAAAGGTCACTTGTTTGTTGCAAATCTCTGGCTTAAATTTGTTAAGATTATAGTGTATGCTGTGTACCGTTTTTAATTCTTAGAAATAGTTTGAGGTTTGCTTTATGACCCAGAATTGTGATCTATATTTTAAATGTTCTGAATGTTTTACAAAAGAAGTTGTCATTGAACATTATATTCTGTATTTACTGTTAAGTCAGATGTGTTCATTTTTCAGACCTTGGATTTTTTTTGCTCAATTCTTTATTTCTGAAAGGAGTATATAAAATTTATCCAGTGTAATTTTGGATTTATGTGTCTGTTTGTAGGTGTGTCAGACTTTGGTTTATGCGTTCAGCGGCTTTGTTGTTAGGCTTGTACAAATCAATCATTATATTTTCCTGAGTTTATTATTATTTTTTTTTTTTGGTACTATCAAGTGATTCTCTTTGTCTCTGGTAATGCTTTTACCTGAGCCGTGTGTTAGTACACCCACGCCCATTCCCTTTGGGGCAGGATTGCTTGTTATCAATCAGGTGCCATCACCGTTCCCACCATCATTTACTTCTGCTTTGAAGGAGAAGTTGAGAACCATGGTTCCAAGTATCCCTTTCTTTCTATGATTCTGGATAAACTTCTCCCAAGGATGTCAACTTCATGAAATGTAGGAGCTTAAAAAGTAACCAGGCGTCTTGCTGGGAATCCTCTGTTGTTGCTAACCTGAGAGCAGATGTCCTGTGAAGTCAGCCAGCTGACCCTTGCTCCCTGATCATCACTCAGCTATTTCAAAGATGGAGCAAGCCTGTAATTGCAGTAGGCCATACATTTTTTGCTCAGAATGACTAGAGAGGCTCTGTTTTCTTGGCTAAACTCTGAAATACTTGATATTTCTTCCATCCTTTCACTTTCAACTTATATGTTCTATATTTGAGATGCATCTCTTGTAAAATAAGTATATTTTGATTTTATTATAACTATAATTTCTTATTTTAATTTTTCATATGTAACTGTAATGCTTAGTCTACATTTTGCTTACATGCAAAAGTAAGTGTGTTTAGAACTGTGAGCTTTATCTCATGATTTTATTTATCTTGTATGTTATATTCCCCCTTTCTTTCTGATTTGTTGCATGTTGCTTCTTATTCCAACTGATAAAGGTCATGTGATATTCTAAAATCCCCAAATGATCCCCAAAGCAGCACTGCCAAGACTAGAACCAGTGCCCATATGGATGAGATCCTGGCACTTTCAAGGTGAGGAGTTTAGCATTGGGTTCCAGTAGCATGTTTTAAAAGCATATGAGGGCCTGACACAGTAGCCTAGCAACTAAAGTCCTCATCTTGCACACTCATACGAGTGTCAACTCTAATCCCAGGGGCCCTGCTTCCCATCCAGCTCCCTGCTTGTGGCTTGAGAAAGCAGTTGAGGACGGCCCAAACTGTTGGGGCCCTGCATCCACATGGGAGACCCAGAAGAGGATCTGGGTTCCTGGTTTCAAATCGGCGCAGCTCCAGCCATTGCGGCCACTTGGGGAGTGAATATTTCTGTCTGTGTCTCATCTCTATCTGCCTTTCCAATAAAAAAATTAAAGTCAATCTTTTTTTTAAAAGCATATTAACAATGTTACTATTGGGAATAGAATAATAATAACCTCCCAGATTATCTTAATAATCACGGCAAAAAAAGCTTTCAATTAAAATAAAAAATATTTGCTGTATGAAAGTCAAATTTAACCTCAAGAAAAAGAATTGGATGGGGCCGGAAAAGGTAGCAGCCAAAAACGACTGCTGGAATTTTGGTTTTGCTTTTATCACTTGGGCAAGTGGTTGGCTTTGCGCTCTCACTTGAAGAGGGACAGGTTTGTGGGAGCGACAGGATATGAGTTCTGTGTGGCGAGTGCTGAGCTTGGGGCTTTTAGGGGCCATCTGAGGCAGAATGAAAGGTGGGTACCTGAATATGCAAAGTGATAATAAGAGAAGAAGCTGGGGTTCAAAAAGATAAATTTGAGAATATCATGTAGAGAGTAAGTAATGCTTTGGAAATGGAGATCACCTGAGGAAGAAAAGGCGAAAGATTGGAATCATTTAAACAAAAATGACACCTGCACTTAAGAAAGCAGGGGTGGTGGCAGACTTCAGCTTTGGATTAGTCACATAGAGAATTTCTGTAGCAATTTTCTCTGGGACTCCTCACTTGTTACTGTTTTACTACTTTGCTTTTCTCACTTTCTTTTGTTTTTAAGATCCATTTATTTTTATTGGCAAGGCAGATCAGATTTACAGAGAGGAGAAGAGACACAAAGATCTTTCATCTGCCGGTTCACTCTCCAAATGGCTGCAATGGCTGAAGCTGAGCTGCTCTGAAGCCAGGAGCTTCTTCTGAGTCTCCCACGTGGTTGCAGTGTCCCAAGGACCTGGGCCATCCTCCACTGGCTTCCAGGCCATAAACAGGTTGCTGGTTGGGAAGCGGAGCAGTTGGGACATGAACCATCATCCTTATGGGATCCT